TCTCAATAGCGTTCAGCTGTCCTTCTCTTGCGACCTTCCATTGTTTGATATAAAATAAATAGTCGATACAACTAAAAGAGGAATCGGCTTTCTAGGAGGAAGGTATATTAACATTAAGAAATAAATAACACGCCGAAAGGAAATACACGTAAGTTACTAAAATAACATTTTCAGGAAGCTACCAAAAGTTGCACGGGATATTTTTGTGTTAGTATAAAAATAGCATTTCTGGATGGTCGTAACTACACTAAGTTAAAATTAACATTTGCTTGAAGTTTATTTATTTTTGGTGACATTAAATTCTAATAATAAAATAAAACTTATAGTTTTTGATTATACGAATACAATAAGTGATTATATTAGTATGAATGAGAAATATGTATTTAATGTAGAATTTTAGATTATTTAGTTAATTTGTCTTCTTATTTACAATAAGTGTAAAGAAATACATTTTGTAAATTTTTATTTGATATTTGTACCAAAAATTTAGATTACAATTAGTCTGGAAATATAGCGGGTAAATGATTTGCGCAAGCTGGGAAGAAGAGTTATTATTTGCTAAGTTTGACAATTAATCGCTGATCGCAGTTCATTTCAAAAGACACTATATTTTTCTTTGAGTATTTACTCAGAAAAATAAATTTGAATATTGTGCCATCATACATACAGCCTACCTACGCAATTTAAGCCAGCTTAAGGTTTTACACACGACAATGTTTTTGACGCGCAATCGACTTGCGATTGACGACCGATTTGTTAACGGCCTTAGAGTTTTTAGCATATTATGCGTGAAGAAGTAGTCTCGAGCAAAGACCATTAGATTTAGACACAAAATATTAGATTATAAATAAAATGATAATAGTTTATACCCAGTGGAATACATAAAATAAAATACAGTTAAATAAAAACAATAAAAATTCAACCGGTCTGTAGACCAGAGGAGAATATATATTGCTGATGGTTAGAAGGACTTTTATTTTGTAAGTTTTAAAAAATTACGATAAAATTGTTGTTATGAAAAGGAAAAATATATGTTGCTCTAACCACATGTGTATTACGTATGTACAAAGGTATCACAGTTACATGTCGTCTTAATTATCAACCACACCTGTTTTACCTTTGCGAACCAACTATATAGCTTGTGGCTATAGCTACTTGATCTCAAGGTAAGATCATAAATAAGCACATGCAATCTTATTGTTTTGATTTCATATTACATGTGGTGACAAAATTTTAGAGTGTTCACATTAATTTGTGAAGCGACTTAAAATCGGCCCAAAAATTAACGTTTAGTATCAAACTAATTTAGCAATTTTTGAAAAATTATACCATTGTTACCGTTACTAGCAAGGTTGACCAACAGTCTATAAACATATCCTATACGAAACTAGTGGGTTTATAGGTACACATTAAAGACACGATTATTAATAATAATTTATTAAGGTATTATTAATACGATTTTAACAGTGGTAGAGCCACGCGGCAGCTTTTGCTGTCGCACGGATGGGCCGGCTCGAACCGGGGTAGTACCACGACCTCACAGAAAACTAGCGTGAAGTAGAGATTTACCTCTGCGTTTCGCTTGGTGAGTGCAGGTGGCCGGAGGCCCTTTTTACTGGAAATGACGCATTCCATCTTAGTCCTCACGGGTGACAACGCATCTACATTTTGATTTGTAACAGAGGATAGATGTAGATGTCTATGGGCCGCAGCAACCACTTACCATCAGGTGGACTGTGTGCTCGTTTGTCACCCTTATCCTATAAAAAAAAACGATGAAGAGTCTTGCATTGAGTGAGTTTCGATAAACTGTCTTAGCATCGACTTCAGCTATTATGTGGAAAGTATTTTTTTTTATTTTAATCTGCCTACTTTTTATAAAAGTTTTACTACTTTACTCCTCTGAGTGATCTAACGAGTAACTCAAGTTCAATTTAATAACTAGTATGGCGTTTAAATATGTATATATTCATTTACTATTTTTCCACCCTAAGACATGAAATTTTTTCTTTAAATTTATATGGGACCATTCCTAAAGTATATCTTATTTAATAAAAAACAAATAATTGAAATTAGTTTAGCCGTTTCCGAAAAATCGATTAACGTATACATATATAAAAAAATACCGCTCAAATATCCTTTTCGTTTTAATTTATATCTTTTGTCGTAAGCGTTATTATTATCAGAACTTACATCATTTTTGAACTCATCGTTGAATTAATTTCAAGACAAAACTACAATCCAACGATCAAACCGTACTTACCGCTCACAATACATTTTAACTTTACTTTTTATTGGCTTTCTGTTTACGCTGTCAAGTTATTCTTAGCTCGCGACATATAAAGAAGGAATTTAAACTACTGGCGATATAACAAAACGCACGAGCCATGTGCATGTACTTGCAAGAAGAAACCTTATAAAGTAAGAATGTAAATTAAAAGTCACGTGCTTTCGAAGAACTCTTTTACTTTAATTAGAACAGACTCTTTACATTGACTTTTGATGTATTTGTCCGTGTTGTTCGTGACTCCGTTACGAGATGTTCGTGATGTCAATCTTTGCATGCTAATACCGACGAAAAGTCGCTTTGCACGGACTTTCGGTTACTGTGTGGGTACTAGATTATGCAATGGAACCTTCCCACGATCTGATGCTGCATGTTGTTTAATGAGAATTTAATAACGTTTATACGTGGTAGAGCCATGCTGCTGCTACATTACTGGTATAGTTGTAGCACGAATGGGTCGGCTCGACCGGGGAAGGACCACGCTCTCACAGAATACCAACATAAAAAAGCAGCTTAACGTTACTGTATTTTGTGTGGTAAGTGTAGAGAACCGGATACTCTTTTTACTGGAAACCAGGCATACCATCTTAGTTCTCAAGGGGTGACAATGCATCTGCATTTTGATTCATAATCAAGGATAGATATAGATGTCTATAGGCTACAGCAATCACTTACCATCAAGTGCAATGTGTGCTCGTTTGTCACTCTTATCCTATAAATAAAATAAAAATTGGGGTTGTTATAAAGTAATTTGCTTAATTCCGCGTAAATAAAGAAAATAATGTGTCCTGCCCAGTTTTAAGGAGACTCTGCGCTTAGCGGCCAGCCTCCGCAGAGTCTACTTCACCTGAGGATGCCTCGTGTAGAGGCGAAACACGTGTCGTATTTTCGAGAGTGGTGTGTCGTGCCTAGTGTGCTGGGCTGGGGGTGGTAGTGCTGGGATTAACGGCGACGGATATAGTGCGCGCGATTGAGGGAGGGTGGGAGGTACCCCTTAAAACTGGGCAGGACACATCATTTTCTTTCTTTACGCGGAATTAAGCAAATTAGTTTATAACAACCCCATTATAATGGATTTCCACAAAGTAAAGCCTGATTCTATCAATTATCTAAACATTTTTTTGTCATATGTCGTCGTCGAATACCTCAGTAAAATAAGTTAAAAATTACTGACTGCTTTTAATTTTTTATGAAAGTAACTGTGAAAAACGAGCACACTCGACTTATTATAATATAGTAAGTGAATACTATGGCCCATAGACACCTTTATCTATCGTCGATTAAGAATCAAATACAATTGCGTTGTCACCCCTAAGGACTAAGACTAAGATGCCTCATTCTCACTAAAAAGGGACTCCGGTTCTCTATATTTACTATACGAAACACCGCAGCATTATTCTGCTATTGCACGTTGATATTCCGTAAGAGCGTGGTTATTCCACCGACAAACAAACAAATTCGTGCTGCAGACAATATAGCACGCGTGGCTCTACCACTATGAATTAAAATTTATTGCGGCAGTTTTCAATACATCGCTCGTTCGCACTTAACTCTTATATTCTCCTTAAATTTCATTAAAATATATTTAGTCGTTCTTGCGTTATTAAGTAACCAATATCCAATGAGAAGTATACATAAACATGAGGGGGGGGGGGGGGTAGAATCTGATAAAATGTCTGAAGCACGGGTCTAATTGGTATACAATACAACGAGTTCTGACTCAGCATGGTCGATCACAGCTACAGCTTTACAATAACCAGAAGCTATTAACTGCAGGTACAAGGAAAATGATAATACTAGTAAGTATAAGTAGAAACACAGAGATAATATATGTCCTTCGTACGAACCTGCCCTTATGTGCCACCAATTCAAAAGCATACGTGGGCCTTTACGATAGACGACCTATTAAACTTATGTATTAAAAACAGAATATCACTAGACACGTAGCCACGTGCCCAGCAATTTGTATTTAAAAAAACACTACATATGCGTTGCCACCCGTGAGGACTAAGATGGAATGCCTCATTTCCAGTAAAAAGGGTCTCCGGTTCTCTACACTCACTATACGAATCACAGCAGCGTTAAGCTGCTATTTTACGCTGGTATTCTGTGAGAGCGTGGTCCTTCCTCCGTTGAGCCGACCCATTCATGCTACAACTATACTACTAATATAGCTGCAGCATGGCTCTACCACGTAAACATTCATAATGTCGCAGCATTTGATAGAATAGAAGACTATTCATTAGAATGTGGTTTTGCTTCTGAGATACTTCAATTGACACTGGGCTGACCTTATAGCTCGAAGAACCGGCTACCAATGGGTAAGAAAGGTTCTGGAGTGGCAACCTCGTAACAGTAAGCTAAGTGTAGGGCGGCCCCCCACTAGATGGTGTTACTACCTGAAGTGAAATCGATGGATGCAGGTGGCTCAGGACCGTGCTTTGTGTAGGAATTTTTTATATTGTGTGGATATCACTCACCATGATGATATGTTATAGAAAATATCATTTAAGTTTTTTTAAATACAATCCACATGCTCTTTCTTTCTTTATAATCATCATTATCATCATCATTACAGCCCTTCACAAGTTCACTGCTGAACATATAGGCTTCCCCCAATGAATGCCACAAAGCATTTGTGTTTAAATTATGTAAATATTATCTATGTTATGATTGGCTTAGTCATATAATACGATATTTCTGTCTGTTTCAGGAAATGGCAAGAAGCGAGACAGCGTCCCGACCCCTACAACCCCCAGCCGCCCTTCAGCCACACCGCCGCAACCCCCGCCTGTACAGGGTGAGTCATATAATGCGACGTTTTCTAGTCAGTGCTCTATACGAAAATCAATAATGTGTATTATGTACTTTATTCACATATTTTAAAGAAAATTTGTTATAAGTTAGTTTATACTTAGTTATACAGATTGGGCGAATCGAAATTTTATACATATTTTCCTTTTTTATAGAATAAGGGTGACAAACAAGCACACAGTCCACCTGATAGTAAGTGGATGCTGTGGCCCATAGACATTTACATTCATCCTCGATTAAGAATCAAAATGTAGATGCGTTGTAAACCCTGAGGACTGAGATGGAATGCCTCGTTTCGAGTAGAAAGGGTCGCCGGTTCTCTGCACTCACCATAAGAAACACAGTAGTATTAAGCTGGTATTCTGTGAGAGCGTGATCCCGGTCGAGCCAACTCATTCGTGCTGTAATCACAATATAGTTGCAGCATGGCTCTACCACGTATAATAGTGAATGGAACTAAAACAAAATATATTATACTATGTATTCTTGTGTTTTTAAGTATGGAAGACGAAGATGGAGTACTTCATGGTCAATGATTTAACTTGTCTCTCTTCTATCCTAGGCTGAAAAGGAGTTCTACCCAAATTAGTCGTTACAATTTTTATTTACACTTAAATACCTACATAAATTCATGTGGTACCGACGCGACGACGAGAAACGTTATTAGGTACACCGTTTCTTGCTCTAATGTCAAGATCGTATAAAAATGTCTTGACTTTGGCCGAATGAACACTATATTTATATCTGTAGACTTAATTGTGGTGGTCATCAACGTGAGCTCGCGACGTAAAATAATTCATCATTCGATTTTCGTTACTTGGGTGTCGTAAGAGTCGACTATGGGATATGCGAAAAAGATATTTAAGTCTTTAGCAGAGACATGATGTTTCTTTTTCTTCTTTTAAATATTTGTTTCATAAAATTAACGTATTAAAATTAATCTCCGTTAGTCTCTCTAAAACTCAAAAACGTCTCGACCCATCTTGATAAAATTTTGTTTGAATGGGTCCCTAGAGATTTGAACCCTTAGGTGACGCTGTGGTCAAAATCCAGAAGTCACCCGTGCGAAGCCGGTGTGGATCGTTAGTTATTATTATATAATTAAAGCTTATAGCTTCCGATTCCGATAGGTGGCGGTAAAACACTATCGTGTTCATAAGGCGTAAAATATCCAGACCGGTGATGCGACGGGAAGCAACATCAAAGTTGTGAAACGTTTGGTACTGCGATCGTCTAATGCCTAATCTTCTTGTTAATCAATTTGTGCATCGCTAAACATTTTAATATTTAAACAAATGCTGTTTATTTTTTTGTGAAGCCTTTTTTATTATTAAAACATTTATTGCTTTCTTTCCGGCAAATTTTCACGTGGTAGAGCCACGCTGCAGCTAAGTTATGGTTGTAGCACTAATGACTCGGATCGACCGCTGAGGGACCGCACTCTTACAGAATGCCAGCGCTGTGTTTCGTATGGTGAGTGAGTATAGAGAACCGGAGACCCTTTTTACTGGAAATGGGGCGTTCCATCTTAGTTCTCAGGGGTGACAACGCATTTTAGATGTAGATATCAAAGGCTTACGGCATCTACTTACTGTAACTTACACTGTGTGCTCGCTTGTAACCCTTATACTATAAAAAAATGGTGTAATAGTAAATCTTATTGACCCAGCGCGCCAAATATTACGCCTTTGTTAACACAGAAGAAAAAGAATTAGTCAATTCGTCGGTAATTTGATTATTTTATATCCAATTCGGCTAACCTAAACTTAATACATTAGTATTATATAAAAAAAAATGTGGCGATATTGTCTTCCAGTATGGTGATTACAATAGAATAATAATTATTAAAGATGTTAAAAATTAATTAGCTACGGTCAGCATAATAAAATGAAATGATGTCTTATCTAGTTTGAAGAGTACCTCCCGCCTCAGGTACATTAATTGCGTGCGCTAACCCCGTCAACACTAATCCCAATACCATTACACTAGGAAATACACCACCGCCGATAATACCACACGTGTTTAGCCTCTAAAGGAGTTGTTGTGAGAGCTTATCAGATGAAATAGACTACGATGGCTGACCGTTAAACCGCTTCTCACTTTTAATATCTTCAATATAATGGTTTTTTTTTCTAAAAGGAAACCTCCGATTCAGTTAATTAGTATAATTTTTATTCAACATCTACCTCATAAGTCTATAAAGTCTACTGTTAGATATGAGCCTCTTCTGCTTAGATGGTTGCCTTTAAAGCAACGTTAGGCTGACGGGTTAGCAATCAAAGTACCAGACAATTAGCACCTTTTACGTTGCTCTCTGTTGACAGTCTGGATATTTAACGATATGTGTAAACGAGATGGTGATAGCGTCGTCTATCAGAAGCTATAAGTTCTGTATTTCCCATTGTCGCCTCTCACAGCACCCACGGGATGAAATAGGGTGATGGTTTAATTTACATCGCCACCGTTGACACGCGTCCATTGTACTTTTGACATTGGTTCGGTTAAAACCTCTGTTTTGGGAAAAATCGGAAAGAATTCTACTACCTAACATACTTCCTTTCAAGAGTAGAGATAGTGTTCTGAATTTATCATCATATCATAGATCTAAACATGTAGAAGAGCACCAGCATCAAAGGTGTAAGACATGTTTTTTAATTATTAAATACAACCGCAGTTTTTTTATTATTTCTTTTTCTTTCTTATCAAAAGTATAAAAAAATATCAATATTAATTTATAAGAATATAAGAAAAGGAAGTATTAGCACTTGAGTTATGCGAATTCGAATTTATTTAATAGCTCTAGTAACCCATGTTCATGCCCAGTTTTATATTAGTCAGATAAAGCGTATGTATTGTTCTGTCCACTAACTTACCCGTAACTTTAGCTTAAACTGTTGATTTTTTCCATTTAAAAAAAATATTACTACGGTTTCTTCATTCTACTATTAAACTTTTATTTTATACCATACCTACCTACCTCTTTTTTTAGAAAAATTTGTACATTTATAGCTTGTGTAATTAGACTTCTATATACATACTCCCGTTATCCACTACAGGCATAAACGGGTCCCTTACTCTCTATTAAAAAATTGATCGCTAACCATTTTACTTGGTGCAAGTTGTTTCTTAACAATGCGTTACGCAACTCCATTAAGCATAGGTAGACAATAGCGCCTGCGCACTTGTCCTTTGGAAAGTATGTCAAAACAAAAGGTAACTAGTTTCTTGTAGGTGCTGTACAAATATATAAAATACAAAATTTTTATTTCTCACTAAGAAATAATTATTGATTGTAGTTTTGTACAATAAATTTAGCTTTTTTTTATAGTATAAGGGTGACAAACGAGCACACAGTCCACCTGATGGTAAGTGGTTGCTGTGGCCCATAGATATCTACATCTATCTTCGTTTGCAAATTAAAATTCAGATGCGTTGTCAGCCGTGAGGACTAAGATGTAATGCCTCTTTTCCAGTAAAAAGGGTCTCCGGTTCTCTACACTCACCACCACGTACCACGCTTTAAAAACTATAAAAGCTTTAGCTTAGTAGGTTTAGTTTGAAAGTCGTTAGTGATGACAAATAAAGAGCGAATGTATTACATCTATTATATAAAATGTAATGAAACTATATATAGCTTCTCACTTTCTCTACCACTCTACATAATAGGCAATAGGCGTTTCATATCAGACTACGTGTGCAACACGATATATCGCTTTTCATTGTATCAAGTTCCCACAAACCTGTGTGACTAAAACAATGCTGTATTAAAACGAGTTCGAAATTTTGCGCTAAAAGCCACTTTTAAATGATTTTAATCTCTTACATGCAAATGTAATTAAACTAAAACGTTGATAAATGACCTAGAGGCGGGTTAATGACGATGTATTTAAATATATATTGTTTTTGATGTTTTTTTTATTTTGTATTATTTTTTTTCATGATTGTTATGGGTACGGACTACGAAGTCGCCTTACTAATATTTATTGTATATTATACTATCGTCACTGTGTTACTAGCGATACGTTTTGCCAGCAACGCAAATTTCAACAGTTCGTTGTGGTGAATTTAGAGCATCTAATTTTTAAACTTGGCACCTAATTTGCTCTTAAAAATACCCTAATTGTGGCTTTTTCTGAATGGAAATTCCTGACTTTGCTTTGCTGGCGAGACACAACTGTCCTTCTGTGTTATCTAGCATAGTGTGCATATTGCGTTAGGTTTGTTTTTGTATTTTATTATGGGCCATAAAGAGTAAATAAATAAATAAACATAAAATTTTCACTTTTCTACCGACTTGAAAAAGGAGACGGTACTCAATTCCACTGTATCTTTTTTTATGTGTATTACCTCATAACTTTTTTCTGGGTGAACCGATTTCGATGATTCTTTTTTTATTTGAAAGCCGGTACTTCACATATGGTCCCATATGAATTAGATCAAGGTTAGATCAATAGTTTTTGAGTTATTCTTAATAATTTATATTAAAGTCGGCTGTACTAAATTTTAAATTATTGTGTGTCGTTGTAGTCGCACTGTTCCCATGTACATCGAATATAACAGGTTCATATTGAGTATGACAATTTCATATTTTAATTCGAGTGTATTGATAGGTACAAATAGTCAGCTAAAGATTCGTTATAGAATGTGCATGTTTGCACATTCTTTATTATCCATAATTAGTTTTGATATACAGTGAATTTTGATCTTTGGCAACCGCATAACTATGTTAGGCTGTCTGCTGGGTCATGAGTCTTAGGTTCGAATCTTAATTTAAGCCTTAAAGCTTTGGGTTTAGCATAGTGTTTGTATGCTACAAGATGAAACCGGCTAAAAATTACTATTTGAATCTGATTGTGATTGTCTATATCTTAGACACCGCGCATTGGATATTATGAGCATCAGTCACGGGTAGATGAGGATGAGTGAGTCTTTATTGAGTTTCGGTGGACATTTGTCGCTTTTTAATTTAGAATTATCATGCGCATATCATAAGGATATATTTATTGTATGTAATTGCGCATTTCACTGTCTGAATAAATGATGTGGATATAAATTTGTAACTAATTCTTTTTTATACCTTTCAGCCAAGAAAAATGGTGTGGTGCAGAAACTTTCGTCATCACCGGTGGCGGTGCGAGCGCGGACTTCTCTCGCTCCTCCCCCATCACCTAGGAAGCCCCCACCGCACCGTGTACCAGCACAGAGACCTAACACATTGACCACCACCAAAGGTAATTTTTATTTTATTCGAATTAATTAGCAAATGACAATAAGTAGGTATATACTCAAAATGCGCATGTTGAATGGGCAAGTGATTATTCATGAGTAAGTTTCATTTCATTCGGTGAAATCAGTAACTGATAATGAGTATTCACTATAAATGCGTATATTTATCGAGCATGTGTGTCAACATTTATTATCATTTCTGTAAACTAATAAAGTTGAAAATAACAACATGTGTTGTAAAATGTTGCCGTAACATAACACAACACAACACAATCAAACAAGAATCTTTTATATTTTATTATATATATATATATATATATTTCACAGGATTTTACAGTAATGCTGTAATTATTATATTATTGTTTATTATTTGCTCAGCCTTTTGCCATGAAGTAGTTACTAGTCTGTGTCACCGTGGCTACTGTTTGACTCATGGCAATTTTGAAAAGGTTAGGGAACATATTAAATAATGTGACTACGTAAGTTAGGTTATGACTCCTGGATTTCTTTCAGTTAAAAATCGCGTCGATAATAATATTGGCAATATCGATAAAGTTTTATCGGAAATATTGTAATACTAATAAAAATATCGATTATTTAGATTTAATGTAATTTATATTCATTGTCGGCCTATAAATTTAATATATATCTCCCTGTACTGTACATCGTTGCAACCCTACTCCTAAGTTCAAACGGTGTAGTCGATGTTGGTTTTCGGAACTGGTTTAATAGAGCATTCTTACACTACAGTAGTAGTAGTACTTAGTTCGTTTATTGGATCTTAAAACATAAACATTTTAGCAAATATTTTTATTAAGCTTTTTTTTCTTTCTTCACTTCTTTATTTTTTTCTAATCTAAAGTAGATACTTAGATTTTTTCTTAATTACGTGAGTGATAGAGTGAGAATTAAGAAAATGTTCTTTAGGGTAAAGAAAAATCTTTACGATTCTATGTGTCTGCGCAGTGAAATAAAATAATGTGTCCTGCCCAGTTTGAAAAGGAAGCCCTCCCTCAATTGCGTGCACTATCCCCGTTACCACCAATCCCAGTACCGTCAAACTAGGAAAGATATACCACTCCGACAATACGACACGTGTTTCGCCTCTAAAGGAGTTGTTGTGAGAGCTTATCAGATGAAATAGACTACGATGGCTGACCGCTAAACTGCTTCTTAATTTTTAACATCTTCAATAAAATGGATTTCTGAAAAGTAACGCGTGATTCTGTTAATTAGAATAATTTTTATTCAACATCTTTTACATGAGGTAGAGTCTATAAAAGTCTACTGTTAGATATTAGCGATGCATCCTCAGATGAAGTAGACTCTGCTAAGCTTAGCGGTCAGCAGAGTCTACTTCACCGAAAGAAACGAATTAGACGTATTATTGAGGGTGGTGTGTCTTTCCTAGTTTGGTGGGAGGTTCTCTTCAAACTGGGCAGGACACATCATTTCATTTCATTACGCGGAAAGAGGCAAATTAAGTTCTAACAATTATAATTTAATGGATTTCCGCAAAGTAACGCCTGATTCTAATAATTATCTTAAAACTGATTATGTTTATTGAGTAAGTAATATATTAATGGATTATTGGATATTAGCACAGTTCAAAGACCTTATAAAACTTATTATTTCTTTTTTTACATTGAGACGTAGGGCTTTTAAATATGGAAATACCAAAATATGTTTTGTAACATAACATCGTTGAGTGATGAATATTTGAAAGCCTTCAAATTGTTGTCTTTAATACCCCATTAGTCAACCAGAAAGAATCTACAGATAAACATATATGAATAATTTTTAGTTTGACATGGTCCGGATTTTATTGATTAAATATTGGTAACGTGTTATAGTTATAGTGATGTTATACAATAGCTTGTGTATATAAATATAGAATGAGTTTGTGGAGCAAAATATTTTCTACACTGCTTAAGATTAAGTATTTGATATACCTACTATATTCATATAATTTTAAACGTATATATAATAAAACATGACATTCATCTTTAATATTTCCTGCCTCTTTTTTCTTTTTAATCATCATCAGCTCCTAAAGGTCCAAAATGCTGAACATAAATGCTCCCCCGTTGTGCTGCCATCTGTGGTATAAAATTGAAACATACATGCATCCAGTAGATGTCGCTTTCTTATGTTTCCCTCACTTATACTAGTTGTGAGTTTTAGTTGATAGATGGCATTGTTCAGCAATTTTTATTAAACTTTATTGTTTTGGGGAAACTATTTTAAATAATTTTAGGGAATTCCATTGAAAGTATTAGGCATTTATGGATATCAGTACAAGCAAGGCCCGGTGGCGAATACGGTAGATGATGAAAAGAATTTGTAATCCATGCTCTTGTAAATATTTTTACGCCGTGTGTATGCCAGTAATACCGTACACCCGCATACCTGACATCAACATCGACCGACACGAGCTAAGCAGTCCGAGGCGGGGGTCGCACACTCCTACTCAGACCGTGGTTAGATAGCTCGGAAAACCTCAACAGAGGGGACATGATGATTGGTACGAAATCATAAACCAATATCATCCTCATCCCCATCATGCCTTTCACTTTTTAAATAGCTCGCGGCCTGAAAGGCCTGTGTCAGATAAAGCTGTAAAAGTCGCATAGGATAACAGCACTTACATCACAGAAAATACCCTCGGAATGAGATCCGGTAGAGAAGTAACTAGTTGTTCTCCGCGACTTCGTCCGCGTGAATTTAATAAAATTTAATTTCTTGGCTTTTTTTTGCTCCCCTATATTTTTTCTAAAATAAAAGTAGCCTAAGATACTCCTTATAACATCAGCTATCTGCCAATGAAACCCCCGTCAAAATAGGTCAAGCCATTTCGGAGATTAGCTGGAACAACAGACAGACAGACAGAAAGACAATCAGACCGACAGACAGACAGAAATTTTGCTTTCTTATAAGTACCGTCCCTATATACTTTCATAAGCATTTAGTAAAGTGCTGTTATTCTGACATTACAAACAGACACTTCAATTTTATTTATTTGTATAGATTTGCGGCGGTTATGGTCTACATAGTGTTTACTCTGTTTTTCTACGAAGTAATAAGATAAATAAGAAGGTTTTTTGGTGGAATAGGTTTTGTTATTATGTTGTCGTTACCTTTTTTTAAACTTTACTGGAAGATGTCAAGATTATATGTATTATGTTACTAAGAATAAATTTTCGCAAACTAATATGTTTTCCAATAAAATTTTGAAGTAGGAATGAATAACATGTCACGGCTTGTATAGTTGGTTCAGCACTGTTGACATTCTGCTGGAGATGCGTATGCCTGCAACTGGGCACAGACTTCTTACCATTTAACTATACAAGCTTAAAGTTGTGTTTTCGACTATTGTGGTATTGGTCTATATTTTTTTAATACTGATGCTATTTTTTTTTAAAGTTTATTCATTAATATGAGCTGACAAATTTAAATTAAATTTTAAGTAATATTAAACCAAAATTTTTGTTATAGCTACCATATATAGGTACTTTAATATGCATTTAGTAATAAGCTGTTATTTTGACATTACAAACAGAAAGTTCAATTTTATTTATTTATATAAATACGGCTAGTTAGGCTGTTTTCCCTCTTCCGATGCTTGCCTCCTCTTGGCTCCGTACCACTAAGCTGGAACGGTGTTCGGGCCTCTTCCTTCAACTGGCTTCTTGCAACGGATCTCTGAGGCACTGGTCATACACCCCAATCAGGGATCAACCATACCACACTACGCTGGGTTAGGGGCAACGAGGTGGGCCCAAGTACCGTACAACAACCCTTTTCTTAAAAGAAAGGGTTGACGACTAAGATTACGGATCCCTAATGAATGGTCCGGGTCTTGACGTCAGTCTCTTCAACTCTTCCGTATCGAGAACAGACTACCGCAACGGCTCGATGCTCGGTTACTTTTGTTAATTTCACATTCTGTTCAAAGATTTCATTAAAATTTTGGCTTAGAAGATCCAAGTGTTAGATCGGTTTGTGATGTTGTAGAGACTAAGGACGAATACTCTTAAATTATGTCGTAGTCAGATAAGTATTTTTTAGAACTTCTAGTTTGGTTCGTCATTATTCATTATCATCATCACTACATCTAGTGGCCAGTCGCCTAACAGATCTGTTATCGGTACTAGGCTACTACTCGAGAACGTTTCATCTTCATCGGTTGTCGGTTCTTTGGGCTATACGGCCGGTCCATTGCTACTTACCCGTTTCTTAAAAGAAAGGGTTGACGACTAAGATTACGGATCCTTAATGAATGGTCCCGGTCTTGACGTCAGTCATTAGTGGACTGTATCTCTTGTAGCTTCTTGGTCTCTAACTATTTAGGGTGGACGTTATGGAATTTTTGAAACAAAACAATAATTAATCACAAAAGCCCCCTTTGGAAATGCAATACTGAAAATTTCACCACTTTATAACTTTTCCTATATCAGCCTTATTGTACCATGACAGCTATACTCTAAAGAGAACCGCAGGCCAAACGCCATTTCGACATAAGCTTATCACTAATTTTCACTATCACATTTCCATATTTAAACCCACAATTACCAAAAAGAATGTCATTACACAATTACATTTCTTAAAAAGTACAAAAAAGACAGATTAATAATTCAAACTTTAATATCACTTAAAAGAATATTAAAATAATTATCAAAATACAACAATTTTAGAAGCCAATTTAGAGTCATAATTCTTAAATATCTATTGCACACATTCGAAACAGTAATCTTTATTAATAAATATCAATATTTTAAACAATACAATCGTTTAATTTACAAATTAAAACCTTTAAGCAACATTAATAAGCTTTAATTCAACTTTAATTTTCTTATACAATTTTATTATTATTTCGCTATTCTACCCATAAAATAGATACTTTTAACATATTTCCTATTTTATAATTCTATACAATAATCCTGAAACATTTTTATATACATTTTCTTACATTACTGAAACTTTCATGAAGCAATACCTTTACTTT